CGATGTTCTTAACAAAGAAAGATGCCGCGTCAACACGTCTTGAGGATAAAGTGGAGTAGTTAAAGGAAAACCAATGAAATCCTGTGGGTCTATGAGAAAATGGTTGAAAAAGAAAGTCGTAATTTTTTACGACGAAGACCATGAGATCGAATGCTATTGGTGGATGATTAAAAAGAAAAACCAAAGTCGTTGCTAAATACTTGTGAAAACGCGTGCGTGCAGTAGCAGGCCCCATGTGCAAAGGTTCGGAAAGAACGTGATTTTGGCACGACATGCACGGAAGTCAAGTAATCCAACTGTCATTATTCGTAGATCTACCTCTTTCCAAGTTACATTATAACTTTTCTATTTTCATTCCTCTTTCGCACAAATATTTTATTTATTCTCTCTGGTCCTCCCTTTCTTGATACTGGGGCTAATAAAAGCGACTTACCTGTCGAAAAGAACAAGGAAGTCTCCGTTTTATGTACAAAATCAGTTCTTGTTTTGTTTCTTTTGAAGGAGGGGATGCTCCTGGGAATCTTCCCTGAAAGCTTCGTAGTGTGACATAGCTAATGTCAACACCTATCGAAGACAAGTCTCAGAACAGACTAATTTTAGACCAATTGAAATCACAAGAAAGATGTAGAGTCCGATCATCTTTTGCGAAGCCTTCTTTTGTAGATGCCGCTGTCATTGTCGTCATCAATGTTGAAACCGTTGTTTTTGCCGCTGCACCCAATTACATTCTCTTTTCACAGTTCTAACATTTTCAACACGAAGCAATAGACGGCGGCTAAGATATAAACAGTCTCAGGATATCATAATAAAGAATAAAAAAATTTTATTTGAAAAGTTTGCAAAGTCTGATGCTAATCTTGCCGGACCAATTCATGATATTAGCGAGGAATTTCGCTTATGGGATGATATTTATCTATTCCTTGAAATATCTCTGATCCGATATTTTTAAGGGTTAATACAACGAAAAATTTCAAATTGGTACATCTATGATAAATTTATTAAACTATTTTTTTACACAAAAACTCAGCGATACACGTGTGATAATTTTATCTCGAACTAATTTTTTGATCATAAAAACTCTAATCTGCGTAACATGTGACAATTTTATCCCGAACTAATTTTTTTATCATCAAAACCATCTGCACCTTTGCTGACAAATATACTCTCCATTAGTTTCCGTTAAATTTTACTGTCAAATTGTTAAGTTTGATAACACGTGGTTGTTGACGGGTATACCAGTTTGGGGTTTTACCCCTCTACTTGTTTTCGTGATATTAATTCAATTTAACGGACACTAACGGAGGGTAAATTTGTCACAAATGTACCAGTTTGGGATTTTTAGTGGTCAAAAAATTAGTTCGGGATAAAACTGTCATAGGTGTACTAGTTTGAAATTTTTTGTGGTCAAAAAATTAATTCGGGATAAAATTGTCACAAGTGTACCAGTGCGGGATTTTTTATGATAAAAAAATAATTCTAGATAAATTTGTCATATGTATGCAAATTTAAAATTTTTAATAATCAAAAAATTAATTCGAAATAAAATTATTATAATTATATTAATTTATAATTTTTCGTGATATTAATTTATTTTTAAAAGAAAAGAGGCCGCGTCACAAGGAAATATGGGTGGTGGAGAGAGTGGCTGAAACAGAAAGTCGTAATTTTTGACGACGAAGACCATAAGCTCAAATGCTATTGGCCGATGAGAGAGAGGCCACGTCGCGAGGGAAATTATTGTACGGTGAATAGGAAAAGCAATCAATACAGCACGCTTTTCACCGACAAAAGAAAAACCCCACTACATTTCCTGGATGATGAGGAAAATGGCTCGCCCCATATGTAATTGATGACGTGGAAATTCAGTATGATTGCATGTTCTCAGAAAAATCTGAGCTTTTTTTGTATTTCTTTGTTTTCTGTTTCTCCTTCTTTGGGTCCTCGCAACTTCGATTGATGAAGGTGCTCGAGTTCTTGTTTCGTTTCTTTTGAAGGAGGGGGGATGCTTCTGGGAAATCTTCCCTGAACCTGCGTGTCCTTCCAAGAAAGCTCCGAAGTGGGACATAGCTAATGTCGACACCTATCGAAGACAAAGTCCTCAAAACAAATGTTCTCATTCTCGGAACAGATTGATTTTTAGACCAATTGAAATCACAAGAAAGATGTAGTGCCCGATCATCTTTTGCAAAAGCCTTCATTCGTAGACACTGCCGTCATTTGTCGTCATCGATGTCGAAACCGTCGTTCTCGCCACCGCACCCAATTCCATTCTCTCTCCCCAGTTTTAACATTTCCAACATGAAGCAATAGATGGTGGCGAAGATATTAGCAGTCTTAGGATACCGTGATGAAGAATTTTGACGCAAATTTTATTTGCTGCAAAGAATGGAAAATATTTATTTGAAAAGTGCTATATAAGTGCTGCAAAGTCTGATGCAAACCTAGCGTGGGGTTATTACATGCCAATTCATGAAATTAGAGAGAAATTTCGCTAATTTGACACTTACCTATCCCGTGAAAATCTCTCTTAATAAGCATATCGAGAGTAACCTCAAGACTCTTTAAGACATCTAGCTGTTTAAAAAAATTGGAATTGTGCCGAATCTTTGTCCAGATCGGTTTCCCCAGTTCATACTCCTTCAAATTCACCTTCATTGCTTCTACTTCTTCCTTTACACGTTCAACTTTTTCGTGCAGTTTTATAAGGGCATGGCTTTGTCCCCCGTCTAGTCCAGTTTCATCCGAAAACTCTCGCAACTTCTTGTTAATAGGAAGAAGATAAGTTCGTCGCGCATACATGCTTTTGACCTACAAGTGACAGATGACTTATTCAAATTCATAAAGCTCGCATTCGATATAGTGGAGTAGTTAAATTCATGAGCTTAAGCAGATCTCTCTCTCTTTCTCTCTCTCCCCCTCTCTCCGGCCCAATGTTCTTAACAAAGAAAGATGCCGCGTCAACACGTCTTGAGGATATAGTGGAGTAGTTAAAGGAAAACCAATGAAATCCCGTGGGTCTACGAGAAAATGGTTGAAAAAGAAAGTCGTAATTTTTTACGACGAAGACCATGAGATCGAATGCTATTGGTGGATGATTAAAAAGAAAAACCAAAAGTCGTGGCTGAATACATGTGAAAACGCGTGCGTGCAGTAGCAGGCCCCATGTGCAAAGGTTCGGAAAGAACGTGATTTTGGCACGACATGCACGGGAAGTCAAGTAATCCAACTTTCATTATTCGTAGATCTACCTCATTCCAAGTTACATTATGACTTTTCTATTTTCGTTGCTCTTTTGCACAGATATTTTATTCATTCTCTCTGATCTTCCCTTTCTTGATACCGGGGCTGATAAAAGCGATTTACCTGTCGAAGAGAACAAGGAAGTCTCCGTCTTATGTACAAAATCAGTTCTTGCTTTGTTTCTTTTGAAGGAGGGGGGATGCTTCTGGGAATCTTACCTGAACCTGCGTGTCCTTCCAAGAAAGCTTCGAAGTGTGACATAGCTAATGTCGACACCTATTGAAGACAAAGTTCTCAAAACAAATGTTCTCCTACTCGGAACAGATTGATTTTAGATCAATTGAAATCACAAGAAAGATGTAGAGCCCGGTCATCTTTTGCAAAGCCTCCATTTGAAGATGCTGCCGTCATTTGTTGTCATCGGTGTTGAAATCCTCGTTTCGTCGCCGCACCCAATTCCATTCTCTTTTCGCAGTTCTAACGTTTCCAACACGAAGCAATAGACGGTGGCTAAGATATAAGTAGTCTCGGGATATCGTGATGAAGAATGAAAATATTTTAATTTGAAAAGTGCTGCAAAGTCTAATACTAATCTTGCCTGAGATTATTACATGCCAATTCATGAAATTAGTGAGGAATTTTGCCAATCTGATGATAGTTATCTACCCCGTGAAAATCTCTCTTAACAAGCATATTCGAAGTAACCTGAAGACTCTTTAAGACTCTGAGCTGCCTAAAGAAATGGAATTGCGCTAAATCTTTGTCCATAATAGTTTCCCCGGTTCACACTCCTCCTCCAAATTCACCTTCACTGTTTCTACATCTTCCTTTACACGTTCTATTTTTTCGCACAACTTTATAAAGGCAAGACCTTATGCCCTGTCTTGTCCAGTTGCATCTGAAAACTCTCGCAACTCCTTGTTGACAAGAAGAAGATAAGTTTGTCGCACGTATATGCTTTTGACCTACATGTGACAGATGGCTTATTCAAATTCATGAAGCTCGGATTCGATTTGACTAACATGTTAAATATTGCACATTTAACATGTTCACAGAAAAGGAAGTATAAATAGTAAAAATAAGTTAAAAAAAACAGAACTTAGATATTCAACATAAAATTCGGAGGCGCGTTCGACTTTTTGGAGCGAAGTGCATAGCAAAGCCTCAAAGAAACATAAATAATATTTTTTTATTAGATTGCGAAAGACGACCTTGGGCTTAAGTGTATTGTCGGTCTTGGATTTCCCTGCTCGTATCTAATAGAACTGCGGTGACAGGCTTGCTCAGTGGCGGGTAGCAACATTTTTTAATAGCGATTGAGTTGGAACGAATGTCAAACACAACGCAACATTAAAATCCTCATTTATATAATAATATGATATTTATTTTCTTATTAATTTCTTTAATTCCTACTCAAGCTAGCTCTAAGTTATTTTGACCAAAAAAGGAAAAAAAGTTATTACTGACCAATAGTGCCTTCTTGGCGCGACGCTAGGCATATGAGATGGGCTCGGGTAACAATCGGTTAATAGTTTCTCGATTTCAATACACGTTTTGTCAGCGTAAGGGTAAATGCTTGTCTACTGTCTGTACCCAAGTCTACATGCCTCGAATCCATCAAGGCCGTTGATCACGTGGTTCCCAAGTGCGCGTCCACGTGATCGACGGTCAAGATTTTTCTTCGGGTGCAAAGATCCGGGTCCATTGGAATGTTTCCCTAGGCACTCCTGCGGAAATGCTTCCCCTGGAGGGGCAAACTCGGAATTTTCTCTGTCCCCTGAGGAAAGCTGCCGGCGAGCGCTATGACGAGTCGGCTCCGGCGAACCTCCGTCGAGTTTCCGTCGCTTTCCGGTCCCGCCTCTTTCAAATCCGCTCTATATATAAATAGAGTCGCCATTCAAAACCCTCAGAAGAACCAGATTCAACTCCAGTCGATCTCTCTCTCTCTCTCTCTCTCTCTCTCTCCGGCGCTCGCGAGCTCGCCGGCGGTGACAATCGCAAGCGAGGTACTGTAGATCCTTCCGTTGTCTCCGTCTAGCGATTCATCCTGTGTCGACATGCGAATCGATCCTCGAGCTTTTTGTAATCCGTCGATCTTCTTCTGTTATGGCTTTCGTCGCGTCTTCGTTAGCTCGTACACTCTGAGATTCCGGCGTTCGCTGATTGTTTCGAAGTGTTAAGCGGAGGTGCTTCGCGAGCGCGCGTAGTTTTCCGATGGTGAAATCGATGAGATGCGAACTTTTCCGATGAGGAGTTCCTTTAGGCTCACGCTGTCACGTTCGTTGCGTCTCCCATCCTCCGTCGCAGTAGGTCCATTTGATTTCAGAAGACATACCTCTCCGTGATCGATGTAGATCGGCTTTATCGAGTTCGTTCGAGCATCGTCTATGATTTTGAAAGTTAGGCACAGCGAAGAACTTCTTTCTTAATTACTGCGTTTATCTATTATCCTGGCGCATTTGGCTTCAGAAACTGGGTGGAACAAGCTTATAGATAGATTTGTGTTCAGAATAGCTGTAAGCCTGTTACTGGTATGAGTAGGAGATTTGTCGCTGCTCAGGGCAGTTTCACCCGAAGATAGGAGAAATGGTGCCCTGATAAGTAGCTGTTCTGATGTATCTCTTTTTCAATAGCATTCATTTTAATAGAACTTCGCCGTGCTGGAAATCGAATGATCTGAATGCGATAGGAGGACCTATGTATTTTAGGTTGTCATGAGACGGCTATTCATTCATTTGCTAAAACTCAATGCCACAGTTTCTTATGTTAAATTAGCATCCGTGTTCTTTCCTTGGAATAGATTGTACTGGATTAGCCCTGTGCTTTGCCCCTGTATGAACTGTTTAATGCTGCATTCGTTCATCCTTTGCAATAGCTATAGTGGATCCGCTTGCGGTCTAGCTGAACTCCTTCAGACATTTCATATTAGAAGTATGTGAGACTCATGTCCCACTTGAATCAAGGCAGAGAAATCTTGAAATGATCGTTACTGTTTTGTGGTGATTAGCCGTCCATCTCATCACTGCTGTCAAATTGGAGATCCTTTACCTTTGCATTTGTGCAAGGATGAAATATGAATCTTCAGAAATATATGGCAGTGGCATGTATATATGGGTGTTTTTGGTTGCACCGATTTTTTTATTTAAAGCTTGCAACTCTCCACCTAACCACTTTGTATAAGCAAGTGCTGCTCCCATATGAACTGTTGATATGTCAAGTTGTGGATTGTTCTCTTTAATGGACTGGCTAAGGTCCCTCCTAGGCTAGTTTATATATGCTTCTGCAAAAGATAAGTGCAAAAATGTTATAGATGCAATGTTTTCACAAAGAGATGTTGCTTTTATGAAGAGAGGAGGTTGCTGTGTAGTACAGCAAACTTAAGGGGTTTGCAATTAATTCTCCCTTTTCTTTTGTAAATTCTGAGGGCCATTTAGATTCTCTTTTTTCTTATGCTATCCTCACTCTTTCCCTTGCAGATGGCAGAATCACCAAAGGAAACTGCAGTGGTGAAGCGGAAAGAGGATAAATCATTACTAGGTACTTTGTAAGCTTAACAAATCTAAAAATACAGTTAATTCACTTCAGATGTGGAATTGTACTACAAGTATGCATATTTCTCTATTTCAAAACCTGATTAATTTTTTTAGGTTATTATTGTTAATTTAGTATGGCCTGACTTATGACGCTTTTGGATATCGTGGTCAATAATTAGTGCAGCATATTTTGCACGTACCTGAAAATCAAATTAAAGCTTTCTTACTGTTAAAATAGGTCTTCATCCTTGTCAATGAGTAGGATCCTTGCTTGTACACATTTCTGGCCATGTCATATGAAAGTCAGATATGTAGGTCATAGCTCAATGTCAAATCCGATTTCAACAGATGCTGAATTTGGAAAGGAGTTCCTTACCTCCTGGAAGTCATTGTCTGTGGCAGAAGATGATGCAGTGGAATTTAGCTTTGATACAGTTGGCAAAGGCAAGACAAAGAAATTCAACTTTGATAAACTGTAAGTGAAACTTAAAGTATAGGCAGTTAGATAATAAACCAGTATGGATGTGGACTCTAACGTTGATATTCTATCTTCATACTTGTGTTGGTTATGTATATTCACCCCTGTACAGTTACCTCTCTGTGGAGAACAATGCCCGTGGTGATTAAGTGAGCTATGCTTTACATATCATTCAACCATTTCAAAAAATCATCAAAACGATGGATGATGGTGAAGATGCATGAAAGCTCGTTACAATCTTGCTTGTTATGAGAGTGGGATATATCTCTGCTTTCTGCGGATTAACTGTTAAAAACCTTTTTCAGGGATGTCGATTTTAACCTGGATGCTGACTTTGACAAGTTATCATCATTCAAAATGGACATGCCAGATCTTGATTTCTCCTCCCCATCTAAGAAATCTCCAAACAACAAGGACAGAAATGAAGCAGAATCAACTGATGAAGGAAATTCCAAGAAAAGATTTTCTTTCTCCTTCGATTTTAATGAGTAAGACAGCTTCACAATGTATACATTTGGGCTTATTCTTTGATACATAAAGTTATATTTTCAAGTGAAGAGAAATTTCATGAATTGTGATTGCAATCTAGCAACTTAGCAGTCATTTGTGCTATCCAGGTTGGATGGCTTTAATCTTGATTCACCCATGACTGAGGGAGAACAAAGTGGGAAGAAGGTTATAGGAAGCAAAGGGAGATCATCAGAGATGAATGAGCACCAGGGCTTGAAAACTCGCCTTCCTGAGGCAATTCCTGACTGCGAGGATAATGCTATGATTGATACTGTTCAATCAACATGCTCTGTGGGTACATCAAAGATTCAAGGAGAAACTTCTGTAACTTCAACTTCTATGTCTAACCCAAGAATGGATGATTGGGTGCCAAAGCCCACAGCCTGTAGAAATTCAATTCCAGAACAAGAAAGGACAAACAGCACGTGTGCTCAAGAATCTGATCAACAAGATTATTCATCAGACGAAACAGCACCAAGAGAGGTACATATTCAGCACGGGGTTGACACAAATTTAAGTACCATCCCAGAGCTTCCAAGAAAAGATTTGTCTATTGTCAAAATTTTAAATTCCACTTTGGGTGAAGAGCAGAGTAACAGGGAAGAAATGGTAGGGGAAGCCACATATTCTCATGGCAACATGCAGTCAGAAGGTTCAAGCGTGTCACATGTTCCAGGAACAGAAGGCGAGGCAAATGGAAGCAATAAACCTTTTCTCAATACATTGAATGCTACTAAGGCTGATAACAAAGAGGCCAAGCCTGATACAAATCTTAATGATACAGCCTGTATTATCCCAAGTAAAGTACTGCATGACAGTGAAATGGCTGTTTTCAGGTTGTCCCATTTATCCCTTACCTTTAAGTGATTAGAGGATTGAGATGGAATCTATATTAGGATGATATTGGAAAGTTTCTGCAATGCCAAATTAGCGTAATGAGCCATTAGTGTCTCCTTTTAAGAAACATGGACTCTTGATGGTTGATTTTGTGAAAATTTAGAAAGCATATGCTTCCGTAGTTTAATATTTTAGGATGGGATGCAAGTTGTTGTGATTATCAGTTTGATGCACTCATTCATTGAGTTTTTGCTATCACGTTGATGCATTTTATGGTGATATCCAGAGTTCAGTAAAAAGATTGGTGGATCAAGAGCATAACTTTTTTGGACTTCTTAGCTCACTTTTAGTCTTATGTAAATGTCCCAAGCGGAGAGCCTGCAGTTATATATTGTCCTCTTTCTTTACCTGTAGAGAGCCTGGACAAACCCACTCAAAGTTTTTCAAGAGATCAGAGGAAATTAAGAGTCAGTCTTCTCGAGAACCATCAACTGGGAGAAAGCTTCTTCAATTTAGCAGCAAAAGACTTGCTTCTGTACATCTAAATGAAACTAGGTGAAGATTTTCTTTTTGATTCTAGTTTCTTTGATTGGACATTCATTGCTTTATACCGTCACATGGTTTATGCAATCTTCAACAGGTTGGGAGACAATGCCAAGGATTCTCAAGTTGGGGGAAAGTCGCTGGTTGGTCTGAATTCACTGGCAAGGGAGCAAACAAAATGTCAACCTCCTCTGACTGGAAGCCACATCAGTGTGAGACGCACTTCTCAACTGGGGTGAGGCATCTGTACCCAATCAAGTTGTAATTGTAGAGCTGTTTGGAATTTTGTTCAAATTCTAGTATTTTCTTTTTCCCATGTACGTCATTTAACAGTAGCTAACAGTGAGTGAGTAATGTGTAAGTTATCTCCTCCCCGCTGGCACTCTCCCACCCACACACAAACACAAAAGAAAAAGAAAAAGGGAAAATTTTACCTTTTTCCCATATAAAGGTGCCCTGTTTATTACTCTTCTGTTCTCCAATGGACTTTCAACTAGGGTAAAATGAGATTTTTTTTTTTTCTTGTTTTTTTTATTGCATATCATAGTTTGCGTTGAGACATTGGACACTCTCCTAATTGCTGTTTGTTACTAGTTTTATCAACACATATGCAGATATATGTGAAATTGCTGTATATAACTTGTTTGATCAACACATATGTTGATATATGCGAAAAATCTTTTGATGTTCTTGATTATTAGCTTGCTGTTGGTGAAATTAAAGCCTTTTCAGGTGAAACTATAAACCTTTACTTGCAATTGTCTCTCAAGTCTAAGTCTCCCTTTGTTATTGGCCAGGAAAGCTCATTAAATCCTTCAAACTATGCTTTAAAGAGGATATTGACATCTTTGTCTCTGGTAAAATATGACTAAATTATCTGCTAGAAGACTACAAGCCTGGTAGTAGGGTTTGCAATCTGCTGTAGCATGATATATTCATGTTCAGTTTGAACCTTTTGAGTCACATGAAATGGGAGAGTGATTTTCCTTTAAATGATATTTACTTTTAAGACTGAAATAACTCCTGATTACAGAAAAGATGTGTCAATGTCATGTTATCAGTTTTATGTATGATGCTGTTTATGTTATGTCATATCCCGGATTAGACATTTCCAGCTCTAACAAGTAGATTGCATATTTTGGATTAAACCTTTGACACAGCATTATTTTGCATATGCTTAATCTGCTTGCACTAAAATTTTGCAGTTCTCTATGCAAGACGGACGGTTTAAATGAGTTGTCAAAGCCAATTGTTAAGCCATGCGTGAATCCTGAAGTCACTTATTTAAGCAAGGAATCTTTTAAGGATTCAAGGGTCAGCAATGTTGATGTGAAGAATAGTAGCTCTCTTAATTCTGCCAAGAGGGCTTTTCATCTTTCTAGCTTGAGAATGATGAGGTCTAATTTGCATCCCAACTTGATGTCCTGGTATTTGAAACCATAGATATTTTTAGAGATCAAGATGTCAAAATGTGCAGGGCCACAAGAACCAAAGAAGATCAACTTGGTTCTAATCCTACAGAGGATATCAGTTCCATGAGAGACTCTGAGCATATAACGGCTATGCAAGGTGATGCAGCACATGCGTTAGCTCATCATAGCAAAAGCACCGAAAATCAGTCACTTCTCAATTCATCCTTAAAGCGGAAATCATATGAGGTTCCTTTCTGTTGTTTGCTCTTCACTTCCAAGTAATAACTTGCACCTCTCAATAGGGTTTTACAAATATACTTATGGGGATGCTATTTTATAATGCATTAGAAGCCTTGAGTGTCTGTATTGCAGGGATCAGATGCCAATTTAATGCCATTTAGTCCTTTAAAACGGCTCTCTCAGTCTCCAAGTGAGAAAAGGTGAAGAGTGTTAATAACTCCATTATCCTTCCTGCTGTGACTTTTGTTTGTGGAAGTAATGTTCTTACTCTTGACTTTTTAGAAGTTTCAAAGAATCCTCCAAAACTGTTGTCACCGAACAGGTAAATCGATAAAACCAGCCACTTCTCAATTCATAAGGGAAATCGTCTGAGGTTCCTTTCTATTGTTTGCTCTTCACTTTCAAGTAATACCTTACACCTCTCCAATATAGTGTCGCGAATATAATTGAGGGGATGCTATTTTGTAATGCATTAGAAGTCATGAGTGTATGTTGCAGGGATCAGTTGCCAATTCTATGTCATTTAGTCCACTGGAATGGCCCTCTGAGTCTCCAAGTGAAAAAAGGTGAAGAGCGCTAATAACTCCACTACCCTCGCTCCTGTGACTGGGTTTTGTTTGTGGAAGTAATGTTCTTACCCTTGACACTTCAGAAGTTTAAGAGAATCCTCCCAAGCTGTTGTCACTGAACAGGTAAATGGACAGAACCTTCTTAAGTTTTTCTATTTGAACAGAGAGTCGAAACTTGTTCCTTGCTGGTATCTTAGATTATACATGTCAGGTTTGCAATTGTGAGAACACCGAACAAAGCAAAACCAACAGTGTGTCTGGTGACCATTCTAAATTTCAGCTTAAGATTTCTCCTAAGACAAGGTCAACCGAAGTTGGAAGTCCATTGGTCATGGAAACTGATGAAAATGTTGAGAAGGCTGAAGCTTATACAAAGGAACTTGAAGATGTAAGTAAATTGTGGCTAAATTATTTTCGCTATGAGTTGTTTTTATGCACTTTTTGGCTTTGGCGATCAATTATTTGCATATTGTAGACTATAGTCAGAGACCATAAAGATTCTAATAGAGAGACAATGATAGTGATGACAAACACTAGGAAAAGAAAATATGAGGTTGTCAAGTTACAGGGAGTAGTTGTCCATGGACAACTTTCTGTGGCTTACTCGATGAGTCGTTGAGATGAGTTTTCTTTCGAATTATTTCTTTTATCTGTTTACTTATTATTTTCTTTGGTGGGGTGGGGGGTGGATGCGCTAGCCTGAGCTTCTTGAATATGTATGTTGCACTGCTGGATGTTTTGTTTTACTTCCGGTAATTTGGTTATGGGTTCATTGACATTATGCATCTTCACTTATTGCATTTGTACAACTAGAAATCAATTGATGAAGAGAGCCTGCCTAATATGGAAATTGTGATTTCTTCCACAGTCCAACCTAATAATCCTTGAGGATGAATCTATAGTACTTTATAGTTATTTTCTATAATTTAAGGTCTATCATAAGTAAATGAGTTTTCAGAAGGCCATTGGAACCTAAATTGAGGATATTGCAGAGAAGGGCATTGAACTGTTGCCTCTTGTCTGTTCCATACCATCTCTGTGATCCTTCTGCTGGTTATACATTGGCTGCCTAAGGGAATGTTCTTGCAGATCTGCAACATGCTAAAGAAGAAGCAGGAAGAAGCTAAAGAATTGCTTGTTCGAGCACTGGTGACCAACAACAATCTGTTAATGCTCAATCATCCCATCTACGAAGAACAGATATCCTTCTGGTTGTCAATGATTTCACAGGATGTTCTTTGGGTTGTCCATGATATGCGTCTTTTCTCCTTTGACATTTCTTTGTAATTCCTTAACCAGATTAAACATCCGTAGGGTGCAGGAGTTTGCATCACAGCTCATGTCCAAGGACATTCACACTTGAAGTTGCATCAGATGAGGTATCTACTTTGCCTCTCTCTCTCTCTCTCTCTCTCTCTCTCTCTCTCAAACACACACAACACACATGAGCGTGCAGGAGTCACACCCAAACCGAATCACAGGAGATCATGGAAGATGCATGCATGTGCCTCTACAAACATATGAATTGCCGACGTGCTCAGACACTCCTCTGAACACGGGTGCAATGATGAATCAGGAAAGTATACGCACGGTTGTTTCTCAGACTTCTGGATTACAGCTTGAGGAAGCATGCCGGCTTCCAGCATATATTCAGGGACAGTCTTATGTTTTTGTGTCCTGTTGGTTCGGGATGAAATCCCGAGGACATTTCCAGGTGCCTTGCTGAATCTAGACTACATTTTTTTTCTCCTTGTTTTCATGGGATGCCGTCAAGTTCAATGTTTCAAATATGGGACCAACTTCTCAAACTTAACATTCATAATTGTTCGATCTCGGGTTGTTATTTCCTTTCAATTGAGAGACCCGGTTTCCTCCTGGAGGTCATTATAAAAGACACCTCCGCATCTCGATTTAGTGTTTTCTTAACAGCGGGAAAGCCAGGGTAGTGCCAATGCGAAACTTTGGATTGTGCGACATTTGAACTGTCAAATGATGCCTAACCTATTCGATAATTACTCTGAAGGTGGCAAAAATTATCTTCTTTATCTTCATTTATCTTATTGACCACCTCTACGCAAAAACCGATAGAAAGTAAAAGGTCCAAAATTGCTGTCAAGAGTTCTCCAAGATATCGGGTTCAATTACACGTGCTCCCGGAAATGTACCGAAGAAGAGCATGAATGACATTGCTTTTCTTATGGTTGGCGTGCACGATTAGTAGTTCTGAAGGTTTAAGCTATCAAAGGGTGCGCTATGTTTTATATCTCAATACCTCCTGATGCGAACGCCGGTAGATAGAAGAATGGAAGTACGAAATGTGCTAACCTAAAACTTTTCCAAAATTATTTAAGGTGAAAAGGGTGAATAATCAAACTCGAGACCCCATGATCCAATATCAAAACTTACATGGATTTTGCAGCAGTTGGTTGCAATAGCTTCAGTTTGTCATGTTGTAAAATATATATTAGGGATAAATGCATTTGAAGTTTTAAAACTTGTCATGAAAGTACAATTGGATATTAAAAATTACAAAGAGTATAATCAAGTTCTAGAACTTATCAAATTGGTGTGGGTTAATACCACGAAAAACCCTAAGGGTACACTTGTGACACATTTATCTCAAACTATTTTTTTACCACACAAAACCCCAAAGCCAGTACATCGTGACAATTTTACTCAGACATACTTCAAAAACCCCAAGTCGCTCATGACAATTTTACCACGATCTTACCACAAAAACCTAAACTAGTATGACATGTGACAATTTTACAGGAACTAATTTTTTAATATTATTTTTTATTTTTTGAATTTTTATTTTTCTTTTCTTTTCTTTTCTTTTCTTTTTTTCTTCATCTTCACCCTACGGCGGTCCGGACCGGCGATCGCCGCAGGCGGATGCCGGCGAGGTTGGCCCGGGCGAGGCTCGGACTCGCCGGCTTTCGCCTCTAGCGGTCGCTGGTCCGGCGACCGAGCGAGGTTGAAGATGAAGAAAAAAAAAAAAGAAAAAAAAAAAAAAAAAATTAATAAAAATTCGAAAAATAAAAATAATATTAAAAATTTAATTCGGGTAAAATTGTCACATATGTACCAATTTGGGTTTTTGTGGTAAGTTCGGTAAAATTGTCATAGATTACCGGTTTGGGTTTTTGAGTAAAAATAGTTCGGGTAAAATTGTCATGCGTGTATCTGTTTGAGATTTTTTGTGGTCAAAAAATAGTTTGAGTACATCTGTCACATGAAGTATCTTGAGGTTAGGGTTTTTCGTGTATTAACCCAATTGGTGTAATCAAGTTTAACTCTATTCAACTTGAGTAACGGAAAATACTAACTTGACTTTTTTTAATATCTTCTCTCTTCTAGGTGGCGATATCGTGGCTAAAACACGAACATAAAAGTTAAAACGACGTCATTTTGGTCAAAATCTGATTATTAATACATATTTTATTTAAATCGAATTAAAAAATAAGCTAAATTTAAATAAAAATAAGGAAGACGGCAAAATGGTGAGGCCGCCCCACCATTGCTAGAAAGGGCTGGGGATGTTGTAGTGGCCGCGGCGTGGGCCCTGCAAGCCCTCTTCATTTTGCCTTCTTCCATCCTTTTTATAATTTACTTTGTTTTTCTAGTCTAGTATTTAGATTAAAAATCATATTTAGATTATAACGGGGTCGTTTTAGCTTTATCCTTCATGTTTTAGCCATGTCAACGCCATGTAAGAGAGAAAAAATAATAAAAAATAAGTGAAGTCGGTATTTTCTTTTAGTCAAATTGGATGGATTTAACAGAATGATTTCGTTGTACTTTTTGTAAGTTTTAAGACTCAATTGCACTTAATCCTTATATATTATATCTCAACAAGTTGGCAAGATTGCTAGGTGGACCATTTGTCAATACCCCAAGAAAAGGACATTTTGTCTTGCGGGCCAAAAACACAAAATAAAGGCCGACACTCGTGAGGACGTGAATCCAACAAGAGAAGGCCGGGATTGGTAGCCTCAAGGAAAGTTGAATAGTGACAAAAACTAGATCTGACAGACTGTCGAGCAGATCAGACTAAAAGGTTGAATGGACTGAGACTACTGAGGAAGAAGCAAAGGTTGAATCTCGCACGATTCCACCATGTAAAAGGACAAGGAAGGCTTTCGTAACTACTCATTAAGCATGGCACTAGTAATGAATGAATGAAGTAGCTGACAAGTAAAGTTGATTTGGCATCACGTATTCAAGACTCCACTGGCGGGCAATGTGTTTTAACTTCATAAAATTTGCAAGAGGGTTTCGTGAGTTCTTATCGGATTGGCAGATTGTGGGAAGGTCTCTGTTTCGCCACTTCGATTCATTTTTTTTTTGTTAACAAAGAGGGAGAAAAAACTAGAGGGTATGTGAGGGGAGGGCTATAAATACCAAGTGATTGTAGTCCTCTCCCAAGCAAAAAAACCACACATTGTGATCTGATAGGAAGATCGATGGCCAGGTTGGGATTATGTCTGTGCCTGATGCTGATAGCCTTTTCCTGGACCAGCTCTGAGGCTCGCACCCTCGTCCATGTCGAGTTTCCTAAGACAATGGCTCGTGATGAGTTCGAGAAAGTCGAGGGTCAATACGGGCCTAAACGGGCTAGTCCGGAAGGTCCCGATCCGCAGCACCATGCTATGATTACTCGTAAGCTCGGATGAGACGTAATTGCGGCAAGTGATGCGGGACTCTGCAGTCACCATGAAGTGTTTGATATTATATTCTCGTTTTCGTTAAGTAGTTAATGTCAAGTTAGTATCGAGTGAATCGTGGATTGATCACAAGAGAGTGCATTGTTGGAGGTGAAACTAGCGGATGTCCATGATGCTGCAGTTGTATTAGGAGCGGTTTGCAATGAATGCATAATCGAATATTATTAACCATGTTTAGACGTGTTTGGGAGAATTGAAATTTTAATACCATGATTTGGCATGCAACGACACTCGGTAATGTTAAGCGGAAAGATAAGTTATTCCATGAATCCATGAACACTTAATTTATAGATGCCATCACATAAGGGTATGATCACTTGCCAACAAACACGATTCTAAATATAGCGAGCAACATCAACCTCCACAGCGATCTAAACGTCATTTCCCTATGTACTTTCCCCTATTATATTGCAGATGTCTGGGATTGTGCGACATTATTGCACTTATACATACATAAATACTATAGTATTTGTTTCCGTAAGATTTTGTGGGACCACTGCCAATTGTTTTAAAAGCTTAAGCTATTAAATAAAGGCGTGGTTTTAATATTTAAATATCATATCACTCCCTCTCACGCTTAGTCAGGTCTTTTTGTCTAATATTAAGCGTGGACAAATTTAATTAGGGAGGCAATTAGGGCTTCGAAAGATTTGAGCTTGGGACCTCCAGTTTTGATACCATAAAAAAAAAAAAACAAAGAATTGAGTCCAAGAAGTGTACTTTTCATTGATTTGTTGTACAATATAAATGAAGATATCACCACCTATAATTATGGTATCAGAGTCATGTAAAGACACACTAATATTTGCTTGTTAAAAAAATTGTACCATCATGTTGCCTCCTTCTTCAAACCCGAGATTTTCTCTAACATCAATGTGGCAAATTTTATTACATTAAAACTCAATAAAAATAACTTTTTACTTTGGCAGACACGGGTATTGTCTCTAATTGAAAGTCAAGACCTACTTGGTTCCCTTACTTGAGAGATAGTTGCACCACCGCAAACTCAGACATCAGAAAATGCAATCGAAGTCAATAATCCAGATATCCATCATGGGTGCACAGTGACTGCCTCGTAAAGTCCTGGATTGTGTGCACACTCTCAAAACAGGTTCTCGGACTTCCAATGGCAGCAGAAGTACGGAAAGTTCTCACCGATCATTTCAAGCAAAGCTTGGTAACTCATGAACTTGACCTCCTTGGACAACTTTAACGCATTAGAAAAGAAACTAAGCCTTTATCTATTTATCTTCACGACTTTAAATCTATTTGCAATCAATTGCATTTCATTGGTAAACTTGTGTCGGATGCTAATAAAGTCTTCAAATTACTTGAAGGACTTGATGATAGCTATGAGTCATTCAAAATGACTATGTTTAGGCCTTATCCACTATCTCATGCTGAAGTGGTTGCACAACTTCAAAGTTATGAGTCACCAAACAAGCACACTTCAACTATGCTCCCGAACAGTTCAATGGCGTTTATCTCATAGCGACGCAGCGGTAGCTACGAAAAAGGAAGGGGTAGACGACCCACATTAAATTCTAGGGGTTGTGACTTTTCTCAGACAAACAAGAATGGTCGGCACTTTTCAGGAAATTACTATACTACTCAACAAACCAAAACCATTGGTGCACCACCAAATTCAAATAGTTGAATTTTACAGCTTTTGTGGTTTGATGATTTGATTTCAGTAAATAAATCCACAGGCACTTTATGTACAAGCTGTTAGATTAGAAAAAGTTCAAGATTGCCATTTTCTTTATTTGATTCTCAATGTTTCCATATGTTGGAGAAAGTACATTGTGATATTTGGGGATCGAACCCAGTTCCTTCAATGTAGAAATTTTGATATTATGTGATATTTATTGATTATTTCTCTCGATACGTTGGTTGTATTCATTGAAGCGAAAGTCAGATTTCTTTGAGATTTTCCTATCTTGTCAGAAATTATTTGAAAATTGGCTTGATAGGAAAGTGAAAGTTTTTCAATCTGATGGAGGAGGTGAATTCATGAGCTATAATTTTCTCACGCATCTTTGTGAATGCAGCATACAACAACAATTCTCTTGGATAGGTACACTATAGCAAAATGGTGTTGTTGAAAGGAAAAATCAATACATTGTTGAACTCAGGCTTGTTACATTA